CTCACCCGGACACGAGCTCAAGGACGGTTTCTCGACAAGACTCCCCATTTGACATGGCCAAGCGCGGCGTGTCATGAGAAGACGACGGTCAGGGAGAACAGAAAGCTTTCCAATGGTCCCACCGAGTGATGTGGGAGCCAAACAAAAGCAGCCCCGGCGCTCGGGCGATCCTGCCTTGGGCGTGTCGTTGATCGAAGGCAGCTTTGGATAGGACGACGGCGACGACGTCACTGTTTACTCCCTGCCTGCTGGGATGACTTCCTGAACATGACTGACGTCAGATACGATCCGTGAATGAACGCTTGCAAAAAACAAAAGCTTCCGCTTCTTTCGAGGTAGAATTGTTGCAATTCTCTGGAAAGTGAGAAAAGAGAAGACATTGATCAGCCTGTCTTCTGGAGGCAAAGGACAACCCTCCCTGCGGCCCAAACGCATCCAACCCAGATCTTCCCCGCCACTGCTACTTCACAGGCGCTTCCGTGTCCACGTTCTCTTCAGCGTGTCTCATTGAATCCCTCGAGATCTGCTCACATATCTTAATGTTGCACTGCGTTTTTTTTGGGAATGTGGGAGGAAAGCGGAGTCCCCGCCCGGAGAAAAAGCCACACAGGCACGTGGGGAGAACCACGGGGAGAACGCGCGACCTCCACACCGGAAGGCCGGAGCCGGAATCCAACCCGGTGCCCCTGCGCTGTGAGACCCACGCGCTTCCCAAATGCTATCCCATATTTGCACCCGTGAAATAGGATCGCGCACGAAGTCCTGGAATGAAGCCACACAAATGAGAGACAAGCTCCCTTCATGTTAAACACAGGCGCCTTTCCAATGAAAAGAAATAGAACACCTCTCTTCAACACATTTTCATCATGCGGTGGCAAAATTCGAGTGTCAGAGGAAAATTGCGAAAAAGGTGTGAAGAATAATTCTCCTCTGGTAAACAAGCAGGACAGGTGCTGCTAATCTTAGCAATGCGAGATTTGTGTTGGTTGGCGATGCGTGTCTTTTTTGCTCCTCCTCCGTTGCTCGCTCACCCCCGTAGCGAGACTTCTTTTTGTTCGATTCACATGCCCAAAGAGGGAAAAAAAAGAAGGCGTTTTCTTTTTTTTTTTTTTTCTTTTTCACGGCCGACGGCAGCGGAATCGCACCTCCGTACCCACATGCAGCACTTGTCTTGCACGTTGGTAAATAGCTGACAAGTGACTCGGTGCAGCGGAGGTTGGAAAACGAGGTCGGAGCATTTGTTTGGCGATCGGAAGAAAGAACGATGCGTGAGCGCAGATGGAGACATCTTCCATCCACTGATCCACTTTGGATACCGCTTACTCTGTTTGAGGTCAACGGGACTCTGGAGCCTATCCCAGGTGATGAAGGGTGAGAGCTAAGTGAAACCCTGGAAAGATCACCTGTCAATCACAGAGATGACACCTGGTACACTCATGAAAAGAGGAACAGCGATGGCTCCTTTAGTTTTTGGGCCGTGCGCCTCTGCTAGTTGTCTCCGGTCCACCACAGCCGCTACCACGAGTGTGTGTGTGTGTTAGCTTAAATCAGATCAAATGAGTTTGTATTGAAAACGCATCAGTAGCCTTCAGAGTATACGAGGTGGCATGCCATTCCCGACTGGCGGCCAGCCTTGTCACCGTCTACGACGATGAAGAAAGTCACGTCCCTGACTGTTATCTACTTCATACAAGTATAATCGATGCTCACAGCCGCTATCACGGGTGTGTGTGTGTGTGTTAGCTTAATTCAGATCAAATGAGTTTGAATTGAAAACGCATCAGTAGCCTTCAGAGTATACAAGGTAGCATGCCATTCCCGACTGGCGGCCAGCCTCGTCACCGTCTACGACGATGAAGAAAGTCACGTCCATGACTGTTATCTACTTCATACAAGTATAATCGATGCTACGCTAAGTTGCCTAGCAGATGCTAACAGCGCATTATTATGATGATGGTGATGATGATGATTATTGTTATGAATGCTGCAGGCGCTCTTGGGTGAACGTCGAGGTAAGCAGTGACTACTTTAACCCCCCCCCCCCCCAAAAAAAAAAAGGTTGGGCTCCTTGTACTAACTGAACAAGATGTTAATCTTGTTGCAAGCTATCCCACAGTTTGCAGTGTTGTATAACTGCGCTGCATCGTAGAGCTGATTCGGATATTTTGGTTGCCCTATTTAGCAGAATCGAAATCCGACACTAATGAAGCAGATGCGAAATCAACCTGATGATTCTTTAAGTTTGGGGAGCAACAACAGCTAGGCACAGAAAGACGAGCCGTGCTGCACTCAAGCACAGGCTTTGAATTGAAGTGATGTTCTCTGTTGAGATTTTGGCTCATTGAGGTCACACTGCCATTTTGTAGCCAAGGGAATTCACAGGAGCTTTTATGTTCACGAGCGGCTCATGCAAGTTTTTGAAATGCGAATGAGAAGCCTGAAATCTTCCAACCCCGCGTCTTCAGTGACGAGAAAGAAGAGGAATATCACAAAGAGCTCTGTGTTCACAGAAAGAAGACTTTCGCGTCATCGACTGTTTTATCTGACTTGGTTAAAAAAAAACATATGGATGTACAGTACTCTTCTTATGTAGAGTATTGCAGACTGTTTTATCTGACTTGGGTAAAAAAAAAAAAAAAAAAAACTTATGTGGATGTACAGTACTCTTCTTATGTAGAGTATTGCATATTTCTCAGATTATTAAACGCTTGTCAATAGAATACAAGCTAAAAAGAAAAAAAAAAAAAAGAAGGAGAGGCGAAAGGAAGCGGGATAGTTGCAAAACCTTTTCGATCCGTTTAGTCCCAAAACTCTCACGGGCAGCCTCTCTCTTTGCCACGGTACATGCCTGAGTGGACAAATAAGTGCTATGTTGTCATAAAAGCACTAACAACTACCGCGGCGAGTAATAGAAACCATAAAAACAAAAAAAAAAAAAGCAAAGAAAAAGAAAAGAAAAGAAAACATGCCTTACTGTGTCAAGCTTCATTGTGACTCGGTCCCTTTGTACAGGCTTTGAATTGAAGTGATGTTCTCTGTTGAGATTTTGGCTCATTGAGGTCACACTGCCATTTTGTAGCCAAGGGAATTCACAGGAGCTTTTATGTTCACGAGCGGCTCATGCAAGTTTTTGAAATGCGAATGAGAAGCCTGAAATCTTCCAACCCCGCGTCTTCAGTGACGAGAAAGAAGAGGAATATCACAAAGAGCTCTGTGTTCACAGAAAGAAGACTTTCGCGTCATCGACTGTTTTATCTGACTTGGTTAAAAAAAAACATATGGATGTACAGTACTCTTCTTATGTAGAGTATTGCATATTTCTCAGATTATTAAACGCTTGTCAATAGAATACAAGCTAAAAAGAAAAAAAAAAAAGGAGAAGGAGAGGCGAAAGAAAGCGGCAGTCAGGCGGTCCTCATGTTCGGAGCAAAGGGCAAGGACGCGGATCATCATCAAACCCTCCGGCGAGCTCATTACGCCTTCCGAAAGGCCAGGACGTTTGTACCATGCCAGAAGGGGATGAAGAAGTACGACTCCAATTTCAGCCCTGCCCCGTTGAAATCCACTTCTCTTCCTCAAAACAGATGGACCGCTTTTGACTGAAAGATGACTTTCTCACCCTCATGCTCCTCTTTGCACTTCAACGCGAACACGAATCAATGTTCACAAAACGGTTCACACGACGGTATGTCATGGAAAAAAAACCCCAAAACAAACAAAAAAACAAAGTTAACCGTATAGAATCGGCGGCATACTTCTCATCTTCACCTTCACATAAATATGATTTCTCACCCTCATGCTCCTCTTTGCACTTCAACGCGAACACGAATCACTGTTCACAAAACGGTTCACAGGACAGTATGTCATGGAAAAAACCCCCAAAACAAACAAAAAAACAAAGTCAACCTAATAGAATCGGTGGCATACTTCTCATCTTCACCTTCACATAAATATGACAGGCAGTAGAAGCCCGGCAAAGCATCTCAAAAAGGGAAACGGAAATGACGATGAGCCGTACCGAGAATGGATGGATGGAGAGATGCAATTTGACCAAATATTTCTGAGCGCTTTAAAAAATAAATAAATAAAAATAAATCTGAGGCCTAAAATTGTTTGCAAAAGAGTAAACGCCAGGCCTCTGCCCTGATGCAAATCGACCAGCTACATTCAAGCTCGAAAATATTCATCCCCCGGAGCATGAATAATTTCGGGCTTGACTGAATGTGCCGCGTGATCCGCAAAGACTCCGTTTTAAATCTCAAAACAACCATTTGTGTTCATGTCAAAAAGACCGTCTTTATTTGATTTGCCCTCACGATTAAAAGTTCCTTTCCATGAAAGTATTGGCCAAACCAGTTGTCATTTTTAGGTTACGGAGGCCTCGGCGGCTGCCGAAAGGAACCACCAAAGCAAAGCGCTCATGTAACTTGGTTACTTTTCAAGTCTAGCCTCTAGTCTCTAGTCTAGTAAAGCGTCAAGTCACAAAACGACTCTTTCCGGGCAAGAATCCTAATTCAATGATACTCGGAAGTAACTCAAAAAACATCAGCACATCCAGCCTAAACTCCATGAGCTCCACAACTCTGCGGACCCTCGAATGTCTTTAAAGCCATCGTTGCCCTCGGAGAATGCCCTTGAAAATCCTCCACAACTTGACCTCCTCCATCGACGCGCATCAAAGCAGGAGCAAACACAAATCCCGGCGGGACAGAAGCAGCGCCCGGAACGCACTGCGGCCGCAGCCCACGTTTCGCTCCGCGTTTGGAAGAAAAAGCACACGAGAGCGTTCACTGGTCTGGGCCTGTGCGACGGGGTAGCGCACATTTCATTGAATCCTCCGCTCGCATGAAACCCATCCATAACAAAAATGGCAGCATCCGACATTGCTCCGACGCGTGCCGACACTCACTTTCAATGGCGCCGTAACACAACCCGGTGGTCAGAATCCACCGCGGCTTGAATGACGCATTCCCAATCGCATAGAGAGTATATTTGCCTACCTTTGCTGATGTCCTGGTACTCGAGCCACAGTTGTCTCTGAACCTGTTTGTTGGGGTACCAAATGGTGCAGGACTCTTGGAAGCCGTACATGGCCTCCTGGACATAATGGTTCCCAAATTCCTTGAGGATGGACACAAAGTCGCCTCGCTGCGTCGCCCCGTCCAGCGAATGGATGGCTGAGCTGAAGGCTAGCAAGGAAAGAAGAAAGATCATTTCATTCAATTCATCATTCAAAAAAATGTACTGTACACGGTACAATGAAAATGTGACGATTCCCAAAGTATTCCAACACTCCTTGAAGAAAATTCCCAAAGCCTACAACGCTAATGAGGAAACGCGTCTGTGGAAAATCGATGCCGGATGCGACACATTGTTCGGGAGAGCAACATTGCCATGCGCTCAGCCTTACCGAGCCCGACCGCCGAAAGGAAAGCTAAAGTGGAATAGCGGTTAATCATGATCATTTCCTCGAGACGTCGTGTTAATAACTCGACTCACACGCACCGCCTGCTCTGATTTCCCTTCAAAAATTGAATTAGGCATCCGCTCAAGTGAGAGACGGAGACTTTTATGAGCCCGCGCAATGGGTCCTCGACTTTCGAATGTCAAAAGCCCTGTCGCGGTTTCCCCTCTGGTGGCTTTTGAAATTTGATAAGCAAAAGAGGCAAATGGCAGAAACAGACAAGAGCCCAGAAGAGCGACTCCGAAATATGGGATGGCGCAACACACAAGCAATGATGTCATCGCTGTAAATGCATGAAAAGATTTGTCTGGGACATTTCATGCATGTTCAACTGACTAAATTCGAGCAACGTTCCATTGCGCCGAAACATGACAATGTACGCAGTGACACCAATGCGCTCGGGAAAAAGCCACACCGATTTGCATGGAATAAAACGTCTTCCTGGCGACGTTTGGTGTCATCGACGAACCCGTCGACGGGAAACATCGCTTGTCACTCTCAACGGTTCCCGAAAGCCGAAAAGCATACGCCGTCAGAAAGCGTTTGTCATGTAGCAGGCAGCCGGTTGAGAACTCAAGAAATCAGAAGCAGATCTTATTGGCTAGCCCGATTTCTCCCGTCATCCATGGAGCCGTCCGTACAGCACAATCATCTCAATATACAGGAAACATTTGCCGGAACCGGAATCGAACCCCGCGCCGCTGTGCCGCGAGGCAGACGTGTCGACCACGCCAAAACAATTTTTTTTTTCATACTGCGGATGAAGAAAGAAATGGTTGGCGCCAATAATGGAGCCAGGGGACGCTTGGAGGGTACAACGAGTCAAGCTGAGAGTGCTTTACCTTGAGATAAGACCCACTGGTTGAGTTTGACGTGGTAGAGCACCGAGCGAAGACTCCACCGTTGCACAAGCGGGTAGCCCGACACTTCGCTGTAGTTCACCATGCCTGCAATGACACACAAGACACACGTGGACGTTTGGGCTACGGACACCATCCTTGGCGTCAAACCAAAGTGTTGCCAGGGCACTTTGCTACTTGACTCTTACGACTGGAAAACCTTGGCACTAAAACATCCGCGTGAAACCTCCACACTTGCATGCCGCCCGGCTCAGTGGTAGTCATATCGCGCTCGTGTTTATTTCACCTGAAGAATTGGAAAGAACTATGCATTCACGGACACGGATACATATTTTTCTCTCTCCTCGCTGGCAGAAGAGAGAAGCATGTAAAATTCAGTGTTTTGAGACAAAAAAAAATGGCACACACACTGCAGCTCAACCTTAAATGAAATGCACAGGGAACGTCAATATTTAGATGGGGTGAAGAAAAAGTGACACGGGAGGGAGACAGAATGTAGGTTGCTCGGCAGCAGATGAAAGCGGAAGTCAGACTTGCGGAAATAAGCAAGGGGCGTTTCCGAAGAGGGAGCGCATCGCTCCTTCTCTGGCATCCCTTCACTGGCTCCCTCGACATTTTAGAGTTCCCCGCCCGCTGCCTGGGGTCGGCGATCCGGACACCATGAGAAGTACGAAGCGGCGGCTCCAGGGGGATGGGGAGCCTTTTCCGTGGCCGCTCCCTCTCTTTGGAAGGAACGTTGGGCGAGCCCCATCGCTACCCATCTTTGTCTTGAATCTCCATTTTCAGTCTTTGGCTTCTGACTCAGCATGAAACTTGATTTTTAGTCGGGCTGTTTTTGTTTTTCTCTACCGTCTTTGATATTCATTTAATGTGGTCATATGAATTCTTTTTGCTCTGTGCAAACAGCACTGGTGGTTTTCAAAGGCTTGAGAAATACAGCTGAGTTGAGTCGACTTTTTCCAGTCATATCGCTCAGCCCCAGTTCAACGTGACCTCAGAAAATGATGAATAAGCCCCTGAGTGATCTATTTGGCCAATGTCCTCGATGTCCTCCATTCGGATTGGGAAGTCGCTCCCTGGAAGGATGCGTAGAGTCCGCAGCCCAGAGAGCGTACGCCGCTGCAACATCGTGCAAAAATCCCAAGTTCATCGTCATCTCTCTTCATGGAGACAGTGCGAGGGCCACTTGGAGGGGGTTCGACAGCCTTGATGGGCATCGCCGCTCTTTTTCCCTTTTGACTCGGCTCCCGAAAAAGTGACATCCGGGTGTAGTATAGCTCGACTGGAATAGGAACACTCGAAATAGAGTGGAATAAGTCGTAGAATGCTAAACAAAACTAAACACGGTTTTGGTTTTGAAATTTCACCCTAAGTGCAAAACAAAAAAATAAACTGGGACATTTTTACAATCAAACTAATAATTGGATTCGAGTTCTGCTGCAGTGCGGACAAAAATGTTCAAAAAGGAACAAAAAAAGGCAACTACTTTGTTGGACAGCTGTGACTTGATGCGCTGTCCTTGAGCAAGTCAGTGTCGCCGCCCTCCGGCTCACACCGAAACTCTCCTTTCTTACCCGCGTACCTTTGATTTGCATATGGTGTGAAAAACATAACATACAGCCGAATCAAAGTTGGGATTTCAATTGAGGGATTATGACCGTGATGCATCAAACGAAAAAAGGAAAATGCCGCCAGGCCTGCAAATGCTGCGAGAACTCCACTTTGTTCCTTGACGATCAAAGTCGGGAACGCCAGGGATGCCACAGCTATGCCTGCTTTCAACAAAGAGTGTGGCCATCCGATCACCCGATCGATCGCAAATCAGGGCCGATCAGGGCACAAACGATCGTGAGGGTAAGCCAAAGCATCCAAACTCGACTCTTCAAGGCGTTTCATGCGAAAACAACACTCAGTGAAACTGCCCCAAATCTAATGGGACGAGCAAAATAACCCGATTCTCTCCAACATGTCAAAACAACGACTGTGACGTCAGATTAGCGCCGTGTTTATGGATGGTCGGCACAGAACGGATTAGCGCTGAAAAATAAATAAAGGGCTATCCATAGACCCGACGGCTATCTTCTAACGTTAACCGGGGCCTGGGAAGCATTTGTTCTTTCCGTCTCCTTCTCACTGTTGAATTCATCAGAATGAGTCAGGTAGGAAAGTCATCTCAAGGCTCGCGCAAGCTCATTAGCGAGTCTCGCCTGCGCTCCATTTCATTCCAGAAGAAGTTTGCTAATGAATGATTTAGCATGGAGGAGAGCGTATGGGAGAATATGAATCGGGGTGACTTCTCACGAAGAACATGATGAAGAACACGCCGTCGAGTTCAACAATGAAGTGGCTTTGACAGGTCTGTGTACGTTGGCTAACATGTCCAAATGGGCACAATTCTTGTGAGAACGGGCCGATTGGTTGCGGTGCGCGTCCATCCGACGCTTGCCGGCTCAGAGTTCATTTGTCACGGATCCCACTCGGAAAATGGAACAAATCACCAGTATGTTTGGCTCGCATTGATTAGTAGCTCCATGAGTAGCTCCGTTCTACGCGTTGCTGATAAACATGCGGAGCATCCAACCCGGAATCGGTGCATTCTGAAGCTTGAGCGCAGGGCTGCGGCATGGCTAAATAGACATCGGAAGGGAGGCGAGAATGAAGTCGAGGCCTTCAAAAGATAAAGTAGCATTTACAGTGACAATCCATCCTCGCAGCTCGATATAGGCTGGCCATACGTCCAAAGCCTTATCTGTAGTTTCCACAAGAAATATTTCCAATGAGGTGGGTTCTTGCTGTCCTCCTAGTGTAAGCGATTTTCGGATGCATCTCATTGAGTATGGCAGGTGTGTTCATTAACTTTTTCCCCAGTAAAAAATATCCACAGAAATCTCATTAGCTGGATGCGGATACCCGCGTAAACAATCGGCCTTGCAAACTTGATAATTAGGCTGGCAGATGCGGCTTGTAACCACTCAAGGTGACACATGTTCCCATTTCTGCTGCTCCGAAGAAAGGCGAGGGGGGACCGTTTTTGTCAGCAATTTGAAATAAGATGCCCCCCACCTCCAAAAAAAAAAAAAGGTTCAGCATACACCTGTGAGCCCGAGTGGTCAGGAGGCCATATGCTTCGACTTTAATTATGAGGGACTTGGGGACAGAGGGACTTTGGGTTGAACTATGAATCACTGCCACTCTAGCTGCCTCCAAAGTCCCGTTTCTCCTACTTTCAAAACTTTTTCCTCTCATTAACAGCAAACCTGTCCCAGTGCACGAGATGACCGCTGAACACCATCAATTAATACTCTCAAAAACTTTCAGGTAAGCAACGACTGTAAGGCAAGAAAATTCATCTGGTTGTCAGGCACATGGTGATGCTCACACTCGCACCGGGGGATAATTTCCAGTGTCCCATTAACTTGCCATGCATGTCTTTGGAATGTGGGAGGAAAAAAGGTCCACACGGGAAGCCCCTGCGCCTCTAACCATGAGGCCGATGGGCTAACTGCTCGACCAGCGTGCCGCCAGATTCTTATTGTGTTTTTTGGGGATCACGTCGCGGCCGCTGAAAAAAGGATGGCGGGCCACAAATGCCCCAAAATGGCCGTAGCTTGGACACTGCTGCCTTATTACAATCAACTGACGGTAATATCCCAAGACAGCATCTCCCTTTCCACTGTAAACGAATCTGTACATGTGTATCGTCTGACAAGCACTTGCATTCTTCAAGTGCCAAATGTGGCAGGTTCCATCTTTGTTACCCAAGCTCGGAGAATAAACGTGTAGTTTCACTTCCCCGGGTGTCAGCGAAGTGTGTGGGTAAGCCATTCGCCTACTTGCTTTCGTGGAATCCCGAAAAAGCTGCACAACCACAAACAAAATATGACCAGAAAATGTGAGGAGCCCCCCCCCCTCCACCAAAAAAAAAAAAAAAAAAAACACGCAACTTCTATCTTTGATGAATAGCCTTGCTCTAATGTCAAATAGAGAGGTCATACACTGGCTCAAGCCCAAGCGAGCGCCGTTCCACTGAGCATTTGCACTCATACCTTGACTTTCATTAGGCCCACAAATCAAAGCGGCCGCTAACAGCGCCAGCTGGAAACCAAGAGGCATGAACGTCTCTGTCAGCGGAAGCTCTCCCTTCCCTCCGAGCCTCAGCCTTTGGCACCATGCTGTGGCAAGGAACCGCAATCATAATCCTGTCTGGTTTTGTCGACTAATTACCTGACATTTGACACGTAAAATGCTGGGAAATCCACTCGGTTCGCCTGAGAGGAATGCATTCGGAAATGTTCTGCATTCGCGGTGGGTGTGCGGCTCATCCTGGCATTTTAATCGCGCTTCTTGTGATATTCGAATGACGGATGAAAGCGCGTAGGCGCACGGGGGCAACTCCTTGACACAAAGATGAGGCCTGCAGGCAAACGGCCAATGAAATGTTGGGTGTAGACCTTTCGTGAGCGATCGCGGTCCAGACAGGTGTCGCATTGAATTCGTGCGCAACGTTAGCAAGCGCAAAATGTGACAAGAGACACCCTGGACTGTTGAGCGAGGACACGGAGCAAGAATGGCCCACAAAGCTTCCCCAAATGATGATGGCGCGTTGCTAAAGGAAAGGCGTAAAACGATACGATCCAAAATTCATCTGACGGAATCCATGAGCATCCCTTCACGCTCTCGCTGTATATATAGCTATCTTCAATGAAGGGTAGAAATATTTGCATTGTGACAAAGTCAAACATTCCAGTTCTGGACCCCAACATTCACCGTATAACAAAGTCACACGATACAGGAAACCAACACATACTGACCAGTACCTCCTCTGGAGGTCAGAACGTCCCGCGGCTGTAACAAAACGGCCCAACTTCATGAGAATTGCGTTTCGCACACCAAGGCACGCAGGTGATCCGACAGAAGACGACTGTGCGGCCCAGCCGCTAACCACTCGCCCACGGGTCGGAGAATTGCGAGCTATTTTCAGGGAATCTCGTCGTCGGGAACATTTGGAGGAGTCTCCGGGGACCTTCGCGACAATGACCTTCCCATACTGTGACCAATTAAATGGAGGCCTTATGAAATCGAGACGATGTGCCATCTCTGTGCTGACACGTGTGAAGGCTCATTCCACTGGGAGGGCGCAGAGAAGCAACGTGCAAAACCCGAGGGAAGCCGTGTTAAATGCGGCAAGATCAGAGGAATCGAACATGGCGCTGCTCGTCGTAGCCTTGGCCAAGACAACCCCGCACATTGTAATTAGCAAAAGAACAATAAGTATGGAGATTGACCTGCCGAGTAGACTGCGATCGAGTCGATTCTAATCAGGGGGCTTGGCGGTCAAACACTGATTGCGACGTTATTTATGACTCCCAAGTGCAATCTGCAGCGAGAAGCACACCTTTACGAAGCAACACAAGCTGACTTTGGAAGCAGTGGCACTTCAAAGCATACGCCACATTCCACATAAAACATAGAAAAGGAGAAGTCGGGAACTCACCTTGCACGCAACCCAATTTTGTACATTGAAAGGAACCAATAAGATCACAATATCGCACCAATAATCACTCAGTATGATGTGAAAAGATCAAACGCTGCATTCCGATTGCCGCATGTAATCGCTCTCCCGAGAGCCGCGTGAAATAGTTTGCCTCGAATGTGACTCAATGAGGTCGCAAGAAATATTCTGAGTCGTCAGTATGGTGCAAGTCTACCTGACCGCCAACGTTAGCCCCACTCATGAAATCAACAAAACCCAAAAATCAAAGTATAAGAACCCAGTTTAACAACTGCCATCATCAGGTCGGTCCCTAAATGATGCGCATGGTTGCATTTGCATCTCTACCAAATGGCTCTTCAAAATATTTCCCGAGTGGCGTGTTTTCGGACATTTACGGTACTGTCCACCCAAAAAATTCCTGCTTGCCGTCAGGGTCTTCAGCAGGGCTGACCAAAGATCTACTTTTCAAGCGACTCTGACTCCGGCATCCCTTCACTGGCTACTTCTTTTGAAGATCCTGTTCTATTTGTTTTCCAAAGTGGAAATGGCCCGGCCCGAGCTTCCCTCTCGGAGCTCCCTGCCCGCTGCCTCTCGCTATGAGAGGTACGAAGCGGAGGCTCCGAGGGGACGGCGCCTCTTCCGTGGCCGCTCCCGCTGAACATTCGTCAAGCTGCCCATCGGGAAAAACTCCTCTTGATTCCTTGGCTCCTGACGCAACATGAGACTCGATTTTTAGTTTTGACTGTTTTTGTGCTTTCTACCGTCTCCGTTACTAATTGGTTTGTTGTTGTATGAATTCTTTTTGCTCCATGCACAGCACTTTGGATACAGCGGTGGTCTAGAAATACAGTTGAGAGTGCTTTTTATGCCTACTTCAGTGTGCTCATTCACAATGTCACATTGTTCCTTAGCACTCAAGACATAAAAAAAAAAAAAAAAAAAAAAACAGCTTTAATTACCTTGAGGACATGGTTTGCCTTGTAAAAAAAAAGTTCTTCCTTGTCTGTTTGGACTCACTTCTTTTCAGCACAACCGTACTCGCGTCAGCCGTTTTTCCCGAGCTGTAAGCATCATCTTCAGCTTTGATCAGAAATGACAGCGGATCGGCTCGAGAGCTGTGAGGACTGTCGGGGGCAAATATTTCACCTTTGGCATTCTTTGTTCCGTTTTCCACCGAAGGATGGATATGTGGCGCACGCTTGATGGATAGCAGTGGCAATGAAATGATATCGTTGCTCACATATGATGAGAAAAGGGCACGCAGGGGATGATCCCCGGAGCTGTTTTTGGGCATTTCTTTTTCGCTGGACGCAAGAACACCCCAAGCGATGGTCTGTTGGTCTGTTTATCACGGATCTGAAAAATGTCGATCCATTTTCATTTTCGGCGTGCTCTTTAAGGCCTTTGTTCTGCTCCACGTGGACGTGGTGCTCAAAGTTTAATTGTATTTTTATTTTTTTTTGCCATTCTTCTCTTCGCTATTGTTTCCTTTTTGGGCGCTTTTCTTTTCTGTAACGATCCGTTGTTGCTCAAGTACCATCTTAGGGGAAATCTGCTTCGCGGCCCAGAGCATGCTTGCTTTCCAATTAAATCAAGATGTATTTGCCTTTCAAAAGCTTCCCTTTCCTCACCCCCCCCCACACCCCCTTTTGGGATAATTGATGGCGGTCTCTGGCCTCACGATGAATGGCTTTAAAGCCTGGAGATGAATAGGAAGATGAATGAATTCACCTCTGCGGTGGCCAGGGAGAGCCGCAACAAGGACTGCTGACATTGTGACAAATACACTGACCAGAGCAACGCAACCGTGGCTGAATCATCGCTGGGGGGGGGGGGGTTGGGGCGCGGCACGCTCTTCACGTGACTCAATCCAGGTCCCACTTTCTGATACACACTCAGGGGGGCAGAAATGGAAGCCCGTCCCAAGTCAAGCAGAGTGACTGTAGATCACGAATTGTGGTGAGAGAAAGACCAACTTGAGCACGATATCGTCGGCGCCACGGCATCATCGCCTAAGTCATGTTTCGATGCTTTTGGAAAACAAGGAAAAAAAAAAGCATTTGTAGAAAAGACAAAGGTATTTGTTTGAATTGATCTTGGAACAAAACACTCCACCAGATGCGTGAACAAGGAAAAGGAAAAAGAGCCGTCGTTAAATGCTTCACAACTAAAAGTCAGGTGGGCATTTTTTTTCTTTGACGCAAACATAACTGAAGCGCAGTTGAATTTACTCTCCAACATTAATCAAGTTGTTTCTTCACCAGTTTTCCTTCCCTAACCTTGATGGGGTTGAAAAATCGAGACGAAAATGATCCAGATTGAGGTGCAATGTTTAAATAAAGTGTTCAGCCTATCAATGATGCTGACTTTGATATGAAATATCAATTTTGGATCATTCTAATCCTTTTTGTAGAAAAGGAACAGCTTGTCACCACTCACGCACTCTGCACACAATGCATACCGGCAAGTTTCATGGCAACTATTATAACGCTTTCCTCTTTACAGCAATGAGTACAAATCTCCGCCTAATCACAGTTGTCATATGAAACGACGGTCTTCCAATCTGTTGTGTTCAAAATGGCCCGACTCTGAACTCGACGAATACGAGCGCTTTGCCCGAGGCGCCACCGGGTGCATTCATGAAGCCAACGCTTGTCAGCTTTCGTGTGACATTTAGGTGATACTTGGATCATTTCTGACAAGGTGGTGGAACAGCACGTCGCTTATTGAGGAAGGGAACTCCAAAAGAGCTTGGGGCTAGTGCCTTCTTCCCCCCACTCGCCCGTGATTATCAACCTCGAAACAGTGCCACACAGAAGAATCAAAAAGGTCGCGTTTTGTATTTGTGAGAGTGATTAAGAAGCATTTTGAGACACGTTTCATCAAGTTGTGAGGACAATCTGACGGCCTCTAAGGAAGACGTGATTCACACAAACACAAGTACAGGTGTGTGTGTGTGTGTGTGTGTGTGTACATATATATATATAATGCGTGGCAGAACGCGTTGTTGGATGATGAGAGCACGCCAACGCGCATGTGTGTGTCCTTGGCGTTTCGTTGGGCGAGAGGCAACACAAGTGCCCCGGAGGACAATTTGTTTTTAGAAAGCGCCTGACTGCATAATGGACATTTTGCCACCGTTGGCTAATGAGGCCGAGTGTGGCTAAAGCATACAGAACATCCATGTCCGTAACGTTCAACGTGATGCTTTGTGCACGTGCCTATGACATCACAGATGTGTTCCATTCATATGCAAAGTCATCATTGTGTTCCTGTCTCCATTGATAAACATGGTTTCACAGTTTCAAAACTTTTCAAGGGGGAGTGTATGTGCAGGTTATGCATGGAATGAAGATCAAGAATCAAGAGTGTAAAGGACACACGTAATCCTCCCAACACAAATAAAGGCGAGTGACTTTCTTCGAAAAAAGACCACATATGCTTTCTTGCTCGGTCAGAAAATTCTTACCTGTGAGGTATTCTGGGTCGGGCGCAGGGTCTAAAAGTTGCTCGTGACACTGAACTTCTGTTGGCACAGATGCCACCACCATGCCATCTGGAAGCTGCTGCTCAATACCTCGAGCAAAGTTTTTTTGTCTGGTAAGGGGGGGAAAAAAAGTGCTTTTTAGAGAGAATAGGGAGATCACATGGTGAGTGCGAAAGGACGACGGATTGAAAAATAATGATGAGTCATTCCATTAAATTACCAATCAGCGCTGGAAAATGTGCGGGAAATGAGTGGGCCCAAATTTGGCGCCATTGTGATGCAGAACCGTGATTCATGATCCAAGTACATGCCCACTTTGGGCTTGCCACACGCCCACTCAACTCAGGAAAAATGACCCGTGGTAACTTGCATGGCATCTAAAACGTTGCATCAGCTGCCAATCACAGACGAGAAAATAAACATGCCTTGCTTTGCTTTAAAGCAGAAGGATTCTCTGAGTGGTCCCAAACACACACACATACAAGCACATACCCTGGTGCCTGAGATCTGTGTTGGCAAAAATAACTAACTAAATAACTAAACCATACTGTTTCATTAATTTTAATACTGAATGATCAGGTGACAATAGCACAGTCCATTAAATGAAAATGTGCATTTTTCAAACCGTATTTTGGGCATGGAATCAGGAAATCAATATTGAGTAGCAAGCGTGCAGAGTATTGTATTGAGCCACATCATTTGTCATTACGCTTTGAATGCAATGACTCATCATTTCTTTCAACGATGATATCCTGCTTTTGTTTGTTGCCAGGAGTTACTCCTCGCTAATCTAATTAATTTGATGTCGTCCATCATTCTCTGTCTGACTGCAGCTTATGTCCGTACTTGACAGAAGAGAACCTGTCACTCTTCCGGATGAGCGTACAAAACAATGAGTTACCTCTGGCAAATATTGAATTAGAAGTGTGAGAAGTCGTCGTGCCAACACACCGCTTCAACTCAAGTTGTCGACAGAGGTGGGATTGCTCTTTTCCACATCAAATTAAGAACAACAGTGACCCAATCGGAGCACAGATTATTTACATAGTGACTATTTTTTAATATTAATGAGTAAATCTCTCATTCCAAATCACAGACACAAGCGACCGATGAAAATAGCTTCCAAAAGTGTGTTCTGCTCATTTCCAACCAAAATTAGCTTGCAAATCTGTTAAAAAAAATTGTGAAATGCAACACTGAAAATAACCATTTATTTATTCTTTTTTTGGGGGGGCGGGGGGGTGTCAATGTGTAATAACTTGTTCCCCGGTAGCCAGGAAAGGTTGATGAAGAAAACTCTCTCTTTGTCCCTCAGTCTATGTCTATGTTTCTGTCTTGTGTCATTCTCTCGCTCTCTCTTCAACTCGGTCTGTAGGTCTCTTAATGGGCGGTTTGTTTTCGGTAGCAGATTGTAAGCAGCCCTTGACTTTGGGAGCCGATGACTTTGCTGACCTCAAAAAAAAAAAAATAAATTTTTTTTTTTTTTTTTTTTGTGGGGGGGGGGGGGGGGGGGTGTCAATGTGTAATAACTTGTTCCCCGGTAGCCAGGAAAGGTTGATGAAGAAAACTCTCTCTTTGTCCCTCAGTCTATGTCTATGTTTCTGTCTTGTGTCATTCTCTCGCTCTCTCTTCAACTCGGTCTGTAGGTCTCTTAATGGGCGGTTTGTTTTCGGTAGCAGATTGTAAGCAGCCCTTGACTTTGGTAGCCGATGACTTTGCTGACCTCGCGGGCCTCCTGTGTAAATAAGTGCAGCGTGTGGAAAATAATAATGAGCTGCCCTAAAATGACTCTCATACTAAAGAGATATCATCCAAACAGGGAACGGCACTATATCCTTGTGTGACTTCATATCCAACCCCCAGAGGCATTGGAGGGAGGGGCCTTTTCAGACTTTTGGATCTTCGGTGGGTTTGCTTTCGATGAGAGAGAAGCAAAATATCTAAAAAAATACCCCAAAACGCCCCCATCAAAATATGAATTTAATATATTCGCAACCATTCATTTTTTTAAGATATCCATATTTTTCAGTAGGTCTTCGAGATCCCTGGTTCCTTGTCAAATGGCTTCCACACGTCTCCCTTTTCCAGCGCACTTTGGTGTCGCTGCTGTGCTTGGCTATCCTCGCCTCGGTTTGCGGCAGTTGTTTTTCAATTTTAGAAATCGTACCTCAGGAAGCCGCCAAAGCTACCGTTGAAAACAGCAGTCTGAACAAACTAAACCGTTTTTCTTGACGCCAAGAACTTGGGAACAGGTTCCGAGTTTGACGGCGACCACTAAAACGCTTTGCGAATGTCCGGCGAACATCTTTGCGACCTTTGGCACTCTTCGACGGACTTGAGCCCAAAAATAACATTCGGACGTTTTACCTGAACGTGGCCTTGAGGATTTGTCCAGAGGTGCTCTCTTTGGTGTGATTGTTGTAGCCATAAAAAAGGTCTCCAAACACAGTCTGGTTCGCTGGAATGTCTGTAGCTTCCCCACATTCTATCGCGTCTGAGCAGGCATCAGATAATGGCAGGCATGCTCTCCCATCTGGCCCCCGCTTGTAGTCTTCAATACAGCTAGAGAGAAAAAATATATTTAGACATAATATGTGTGCTTGTGTGTCTGTATGTAAGTGCGTGTATAGATAATTGATTTATTTATTTAGCTTCCAGACAGAGCTCATCAGCATGAAACTATTGAACTACGAACTTACCCACAGAACATCTGAATGTTATAAAGAGTTGGATCATCTTCCAGAGGCGCCAGTTGCTGGAGACACAGTTGCTCACAACCGCCATTGAACCCGTCAGAGCAATCGATGCCAATGTGGTGGTCATAGCAACCACTCCCATCCTTCATCGGACTCAACCCTGGGGGGCACTAGAGGAGAAGCGTTGGAAAACAAAACAAAAAAAAAACCAGTCCTTCAGGTTTGTTTTCATTTGTTTCTCTTTAGTGGCGTATGAGACAAATCCATAACAGCGGTATCTGATTGTTTAAAAGTTGTACAGTGCATGAAGTGTGCGGTCGTCTGTAAGTTAGCAGCCTTAAATCTGCACTCAGGTTTCCTCTGGAAGCACCATGCCTTTTAATCCTCTTTTTAAATGGAGATAAATTCCTCTGGTGCTTTTTGGAGCTTAAGGGAATCAGCACTGTGCCAATGCCAAACAGCAACAAATCCCCATAAGAGCAGTCGGATGAGACAAACACTTTTCAAAGTTGTCTGATTGGCAGATCAATGAAGAGGCACACATAGATGAGTGAGACAAGGAGATGACTCAATTCCTCCTGAAATCATTCTGCTTTGTAGATCCATCCATTTTCTCATCGGCTTCTCCTCGCGAGAACGGCGGGCGCGCCGGAGCCCATCCCGGCCGTCTTGGGTTGCCGCGGAACCGGTTGCCAGCCAATCACAGAGCACACATAGACAACCAACCGTTCGCCCTCACCATCAAACCTGCGGACAATTCCAAGTGTGCCATCGACTTGCGGTACACGTTTATGGAATGTGGGAGGAAAGCGGAGTACCCGGAGAAAACCCAGGGAGCACATGTCAACTCCACAAAGGAAGGCTGGAGCTCAGAATTGAACCCTGCACCTCTGCACAGTCAGCCGGACACGCAAACCAGTCAATCACCGTGCCGCCCTTTGGACATAGATCTACATTTAAAAGCAAAGTAAAGAAAAGTAGGTCACCAAAATGACTAACACAACGTACAGCAAAAGCAAAAGCTTTTGAAAACATTGATTAGAGAAACACTTTTAAAAGGCCCTTCATTGTAAATATGGGGTGGGGAGCATCCTTTTGAACCTGCATTTATTTACACTACACACGGACTCTCTTTCTCTTGGCGGCTCATTTTATTTGCTTAATGCTGATTCACGGCGTTTGCTTTGAGCTCCGGGCTCCACTAATTGATCCGAGTCAACTGACCTCAGAATCCCGCGGGCTGTATATTCAATTAGGATGTATTCAGGACCCAAAGCATTGGGTGATTTATTGTCCGCTCACATCATTTTAAAATGTCTTCTACAGCTGACTGGGAGCCAGTGTCAAGCCTTTAGGACAGGATTAATATGCTCTGATCTCTTTGTTGCGGTAAGAACCCGAGCTGCAGCGTTCTGAATGAGCTGCAGGTGTTTGATGCTCATTTGGGGGAACCCAGCCAGATGACCGCGAGAATAATCAAGTACTACTCAAGATCAAAGCATGGGTAAGCTTCTCCCGATCTGGTTGAAACGTGCCACCCTTCAACCCGGATACGTTTTTCAGTTGGTTTTAGCGATTGATTTGTTATGACCGCTGAAAGTCAAGACAAACGTCTTGTAAGAAAATATGTCACTTTGGAGTGGGACTTGACTTCCACCCAACTACAACAGACTGGATATGTTCCATCCATCCATCTGTCCGATTTCTAACCCACTTCTTCTCAGGAACTTTTATTTTTTTTTTGCTTCTTGACATCAACAAATCAATTTATTGAGATGATATATCAGGGCTGTTTAGTGAGATTATATTGGTATTCATTTTGAGATGGCTAATTCCTGTAGGTAAGAAAGACCAGCGTCCCACCTGCCTCGTTCTGAGCGCATGTCGTTTGGAAATGCTAATCGTGCACGTTCCAGTGTTTTTATCCAAAGTAAACGGCAAAGGTGTGCTGGCGGTTTCATTCAATTTGTGCATGCAATCTGTGCGTCATTGGAGGCTTGACTGACTAAAGTGGCAGCCGCTGCACCTGGGGATGGCTTTCAGGCAAATCCTGTCATCCTGAAGATAAGCTCAGGAAAAGCTTTACTCAGCTGTGATGGCATCGGCAGAAGTGACACAAATGGAGGGTGACCACAGGAAAAACTTCCGCTCAGGTCACCGGTGTACCGCACCAATCGGCTATAGAGCTCGTCCTTTTTGTTATTCATTAGCATACTGTCGGTAATGGTGGCGTTAGCTCGGAATGCGCACTTCACTTCAGATTGTTTGTGCATACGCCGATGTGAACTACAGAGCAGAGGTGCCCAACCATTGCGGACCGGTACCGGGCCTCAGACCATTTGGGACCGCGCCACGCAGAGACGGACCTGCGAGCCGTGAGTATATTTACTCCACTGGACGTGGCGGAAACGTGGGCGACTCTAGCCAATGGCAGTCGCCCTTTTAACATTGCAAGTTGAAATTGACAGAATCAGCTGAGGAATGAAACAGAACAAACTTGTCACAAATTGATGGGCAGCTGACGGGCAGCCATGACCTCCCAAGATGAAGCGAATTGGACAAGTTCCTCCCCTGGCACAGAGCGACGTGGAGGACGGAGCTGATGCGCACGCTCGGTCGTCAAAAACAAGGCAATACAAGCAACCCCTTGAATCATTTGAACAAGTAGCACCCGAGTGATCAAGCGAAAAGCAGGAAAATGAGAGCGGAGTCCGCGACAGCCCGCTCGCGTAAACATGAGCAGTTTCGTCGCTAATGACGAGCCGGCAGCCGCCGGATGAAAGCAGCGATCAATCGCGTCGTCTTTTGATCACTCACATTTGCAAGCAGCAATGGTGCTGACGCTGTATGGAGGATCAGCACTTCAAAATATTGTTTACATTACGATAGGCTCTATTTATCATTCCTAATTGGCCCGTTTCGTAGTAGTTTGCTTTGATAGTTTGTTTTATTCTACATTTGCCGGACAGTAGAATTACACTGTTTGAAATGAATGGGAAAAAAATCTGCTAATAAAATATTTAATTTGTCTATAATTACCTTTCTTGTCAGAAGCAGTGCTTTAAAACCGGCAATTTAAAAGCAATGGTGGTTGTCACCGGTCCCGTGACACCCAAAAAGGTCGGGACCACTGCTATTCAGCACATGATGAAACTGTGTCTTTTGATGTTGGCAGGTAATTATCACCTCCCACATTTCTCTCATGTTCCGTCTTTTTTTTGAAAGGGATTCCTCCCACAAAATTGTGACATTTGGGAACAAGAGAATCGGGCCTTTGAAAAGCAGCAATTTCCTTCAGTTTGCGATGGGAGAAGGCGAAAGGTCAAAGCGTCCTTTCGTATTGCGCCCCTCTGCCTGCTGCCGACGGTCTCGTGGGCATTTGGGAAATGCCCCGGTTTTCGGTCTTTCATTTGTCCAGGATGCATACAATTAGTGGCCAGTGAGGCAATAAGATCAATGTTCTACACGTCTGACTCAAAGTGGAGTGGAGTTTCCACTTGACATTTCGGCGTCGAGACATGCCGGAATGGCTCCAGTACTTCAAAGTGCTGGCGAGAAATTCCGACGCTGGCATCCCTTCATTTAAAAAGCAATGAGGTTTCTCTGAACTTTCAGTGGCATATTCCAGTGCAACTTTAGAAAGTTATTTCACATTGTGCAAAACCTATTCCAAAAAGTAACATGCATGGGCGCAACTGATGTATCAATACATTACGAAGCAGTGCTTTGACCAACGGGACGACGCACATGTGGCATTGGACTCTTGCGGCATCCGCTCACCTCTGGGACAGAACCCATATATTAATCATAACACATATGTACATACACAAACCAAACAAACTGTATTTTCACAACCATAAACGTCTCAAATTTTCTGCAAAATGGATGAAGCGGGTGGCCTTGTGCATGTACCGAGTTGCAGAATCTGCAGAAGCTGCTGTGTGCCTTGGAAGGAGGGAAGGAGTTCAAGTGGGAAGGAGCATCCACCTGAAAGTCTCTCATCAAAGTATTTGGCAAACAATGAACCCAAACCAACTCCACTTTTTCGTGACAGCTTCTGACTGTTGGAGAGGATTTAGAATGCGGAAAGAAAATACGAGCAGACAGCTCGATGATTGCGCAAATAGGAACGTTACGTATATCCTCAACAGATGGAGGTTAGTTAAAAAAAGAAAAAAAAAACGGAACTAGCTGCCACATATGTTGGTTGCTACGCAACCGCTCCGGACAATTAGTGTGCTGTGACGTGGACGGGAAATTTGTTCGACAAGAGTCAAATTGTTGAAAACATATTTAGTTTGGGATATGATAAAAAATCCTTGGAGAGGGAGCTCCTCTTCCAAGCTGCACGTTCAATCATGAGACGATGCGTTTCAATTGCACCCTATGTTGTAACCGACTCATTGCCTGCTGAGGGTCACGTCAATTGATGTTCCACTCTCTTTCGCCGTGTTCGTCACATCAGCTCAATTGAACACGTACAACACATTGGACAGAATATCAGACGCTTTGGATGAGAAAGTCATTACAATGCATCACACTACCAAGGGAGACATTGCAAAAAAACTTCAAATCAACCTGATCTGGACCAACATGACGGGACACTTCATTCACATTTTGTCCAAGTACCTTCTGAGGCAATAACGGCAATCAAATGAAGCACCTTGTGCTGAGCTCAGCTTCAAGTGGATTCAGCTCAGGGCTCTTCCTAATCGTCTAAAGTAGGGCCGCATGATAACGATCAGGAAAAAAAAGACGTGGCATTCATTGGGATCGATGACAAGGTACCTCTCAGATACAGCAAAGATTTGCTCCGGTCGCCATCACGAGGCGCCGAGCAAGTCAACATGGCGCGGCCATTACTGGTGGGCGCTCTTTTTTTTTCTCCCCCCAACTACTAAAACTTTTGTTTTTTTAAGACTGAGAACTGCTGTTGTGATTGCAGCTGTAAAGGGGTGGAAGGCGTCCTCGAGTAATTCGGGTCCCTCTATTCATAAAATGCTTGAGGATTTTATTATTATTATTATCTTTTTTTTTCCCCCGCCTTGGGCTACCGTTTAGTTTTATTATGGGAAATTCATACAGACAAATCCTGACCCTGCAGATTCCAGACACCCTGCGCAGTGTGGAGCAAGGCAAGCCGAGTAGAGAACCGAGCCTTCTTGACGTGTTGTAAGGTTGGTTGTTTGGAGCCTTCCATATTCGGGCTCCTATTGGCATGGCAACGTGACCTTGGTCATCACGGCAAAATCCTACGTGGTCCGTTGACTACGTCCCGTAAGACAACAGACAACTTACCACGCATCCGCTGGAGTCTAGTTTTCTGTCAGAGATGCAGCGGAAATTGCGGCTGCAGCCTCCGTTGTCTTTGCTGCAGTCTCTGACGGGTCCAAATGAGTCGAGGAGAACCTCCAAAGAGTCAAAGGACGAGCTGATCATCAATTCTTCCCTGTAAAAGACATTATGGCAACAGACGGTTGCTAGCATGTCAGCACATTGGTCAATCATCGGTCGAATGACAGGTGGAACTCAATATGACGACAAGGCAAAAAAAACAACCAAAAATGCAAATTTCTGTTTTCTCCCAGAACCCTGATATCCGAGCTCTTTCTGCAGATACCGTCTCCAGCCATGCAAAAGATGGCAGGGAACCTGTGCTGGAGCCGGAGGATGCCCTCGCTTGGAAATACACTCACTCACGTCACCGCAGAAGCCACGCCCTCATGGTTTTCATCGGAGAAAAGACAAATGTCTTGCCTCCTTTTATTTCATAGCAAAAATGCTATCTTCAAACCCCATTTTTCCTCAGAGATTTGCTTTATGCTTTGTTGTCACTGATGGGGGGAAGGGGGGGCTGTTAAGCGGAGTGTCTGCGGATGATGAAACGCACAGCAAGTGTAAATACTAAATTATTTTGGAACTCCGGTGAGAGTGAAAAACAAAAAAAGGGGTTTTCATTCAATTCCGAATCCAGAGAGCAATCACTGTGGTGTGAATTTCAAAAGTGGTCCATTGCATGAGCTCATCAAACTGTCAGATTGAAATCCCGCCAAATGTTCAAGACTTTACAGTTTGCTGTCCGCTACATTTTTCAGGCCGTTACTCCAAATGAAATTCACTCTAGGCTACCAAATGTGCAGGAAACGCAAGCGAGGAACTTCTCATTCAAATGTATTGAAAAAAGCAGACATGCTACATAAAAGAACGATGAGGCTCGGTCTTGGAAAAATACACAAAAGTCGCAAGCACCTATGCGTCGGGAGTTTGAAGAAAGTCAATGGAGACAGCGACCGATTTGGAAGCTTCTCATGACGAGATTCTGTGGCACAGCTGTCTGAGGATGAAAGGAGCCCCGAACGCCGGAAGCTCGGCAGTACGTACAAAAATAGCCGTTTATGAGCCAGTTCATTTGCCAATTATTATGATCAAAATGCTTCAGCGTCATCTTAGTCTGCAATTAACGTGCCTTAGTCACTTCGACAGCTCAGAGGGAGACGTGGAAGCTGCCAAGAAGGAATGCGGCGATCGAGTCCGTGAATGAACATGAAAAGAATAAATACGCCACAAACGGTGATCTGTTAGTGCTGACGCACATTCCCAATCGCGACGAGCAGCGCGATACGCTGACTACGGACCAATTTGGGTGACCTAGCAACGTGAAATCAAATGGTGAAGCGTTTCGGCTCCGAAGCGCCTCGAAGATGTCCGACGACGTTGCGACTATAGTACGTGGGAGTCCAACAGTTGGAGGCACTTGAGTGCCGAAGCGCATGCGCGCCGCAGGAATGGCGTCGCCCACTCACTCGGACTTAGACAAGCACTGAAAGAACATTTTTGGCGCTCAACCGCACAACATGGGGTTGTGGCCATGGTAAAGCTGCGCACTACCCGGCATGATCTGATTTGTCGTGCCGGTGGCGGGGCCGTCGCTGGTGACGTGCCCCGGGTACCCCCTACTGATGGCCGAGAGGGACGTGTCCACGGACAACGCCGTTCTCTCTTTGCCACGCTGGGAAATAAATGCGTGGCTTTACCATCCGAAGTTGCGAAAAATAAAGAAACGGCGTATATCTATTAATAATGTATTACTGTAATAATACGGAAGCATATTTAGAATTTCACATGGGTGACCTAGCAACAGCTTTGGCCAGGATGGCGCAAGACATATCGCATCCGATGCATTCAGATGACTCATGTCATTTCAATTCTTCTCTTTATTTTGTGCAGAGGGTGCGGGGCCTGGCGAGGAACGAGCAAACAGCCATAAGCAATCCCAACATGTCTTACCCGATGTTATGTTTTGTACAAAAGGGGGTTCTCCGGAGAGTAAGAATACATCAACCATCTATTTCTGATTTCAGCTTTGTCTTGGGACCACTGGCCCTAATTACAGTTGATCAAGCTCTCGGCACAGGGCGGGGGAAATAGTCCAAATAGTTCCATGCTCATTAAAATAAAATGATGTGGGGGTATTCATTTAAGCGGGGCTAATTTTACCTGGCATTATTTTCACAGGGCAAATAACAATCTGCAAATTAGGGCAGGATTTGACACGCCGATGCGCGCTAAATTGTTTACAAAGCATGTTCCGGCCTACACTTGAAAGTCAATTCTCACCACTAATGACATTATCCCGCATCTCCCGCTTAACCGCATCCTGTCCACGCGTACTTTTATGCAAGAACAGAATGCTCTCAAAACGGCAAGTGTCATTCCGCACGCTGTGCGTCAATAATCCCACTCGGATCACTTTATTGTATAAGACGTGTCTGCTCCTTCAAAGATGAGAGGTAAAAACAGGGATTGAGCAGCAAATCAAGCCAACCCAATAAACGCTGTTTGTTCAAACGCCCACAAGAAATATCGGCGAAGAAACGTCGAAATATTAAAACGGCAAATGTGGGTACTTTCTATTTCTAAAGATTGTTTTCATAGCCAAAAGGTTGCCGTCAGACATTCATAGTCAGATGAATGCTTCTTGTAATCCTTACACAATGGATGGAAAAGGTTCATTTCTGCATTGTCACTTATCCGCAGGTGAGAGGCAAGAAAACCCGCGTGAGTGCCGGGAGAATGTGCAAACTCCAAGTTTCCAAGATCAGTAGGAAGGTGGAAGAGTAGAAGGAAAAAAAAAATCATTCTCACGTGAAATGCATGACAAAGGTCTTGATTACTTCTCGACGAAACGATAATGCCTCATGTTAACTTGGGCACGTTTTCCTCCATCCATCCACTACTCTGCTTCTCCTCACGAGGGTCGCGGGGGTGCGCGGGAGTCTATCCCAGCCATCTTCGGGGGCAGTAGAAAGTGGTCGCCAACCCATCGCAGGGCACACATAGACAAACAGCCTTCCGCGCTCAAACTCAGGGACAATTTGGAGCGTTCCATGAACCTGCCGCACATGCTTTTGGAAGGTGGGAGGAAACCGGACTACCCGGAGAAAAGCCACGCAGGCACGGGGAGCTCACGCCGACTCCACGCAGGAAGGCGGGAGCCCAGATTCAAACCGTGGACCTCTTCGCTGGGAGGCCGACATGTTAAGCAGTCGTCCGGCGTGTCGCCAGACATATTTTCATTCTGTTCGTAAATATCACAGAATAAATACCACAACACACCGAGCCACAGTAACGATTTGACTCTCCATCACACGAACGGGTGTAAACACACGGCACGCGGCATGACAAAGGTCGTAGAGTCAACAGTGCAAGAATTTCCCATTGCTCACCTCACATCGACAGCGTCCTCCATGACCGTCATGTCAGTCTTGCATTTAGCAGAGGGGTTGATGGCGAGCTCGGCGGGTGGGATGACAAAGCTTTTACTCAACGGCAGCCACATCCCTTCTCCTAAGGTGTACGTGAATCTGCAGAAGAGAGTGTGGCCCAAAAAGTGTTCATGTCTTTGAAATGTAACCTGAATACAATGACGACGTAACCAACCAAATTGTTTGCACGGAGATAAGACCGTACGGTCCAACTTGATAGTTTTGATGGGGATCGGGGTGGCAGGTGCTTTCTTATTTTCATGGAATAAAATGAATCATCTTAATGGGTGTAGGTGGGCCAAAGGCCAATCAAATGTGCGCACAGTCAAAGGGCGACATGAGAAAACAAGTTCCGATACGTTGAGGGGAAGATACAAAGAGGAGCATGTCCTTGGCCCCCACGGTAGCGCAACACGTGACCCGAATCCCCCACCAAAGATCGTCAATTGGCATTTATAGACCTCGGCAGGCGAGCGACAAACAATCCAAAGATTGACTTGCTGGTGATCACACTCGGAATCATCTTTATTGGCAAAGCGTGAAAAAAAACAAACACACAAACAAGGAATTTGTCTTTGGTAGTTTGAGCCACTCTCGTCTTACAAAAAGAGCCCATGATGACAACACAAACATTTAGAACGTAACACAAGTCCAGAGAGTCGTAAAGCAATAAAAGGATACATTAGTGTAGTTGCAACAAAGAATGACAGCTGTGCAAATGACGCGCAGGGTCATCAAGCAATCGTAACGTAAGCGGTACTGCAGTCATCATGACAATTAAAAACACAGGGACGCAGCATCAGGGGTGCAAAGCGGGCTCCGCCTGGAGTCAAGTCCAATTTATTGACTTGGATGTAGCCCTTAACCACAGAAAGAGTCTCAAAGGGCTCCACAAACCCACAGTTGAGAAATATTAACGGCATTCCTCCCTGATTTTAACCACACGGGATGCCAAGGAAAAACTAACAAAAACAACAACATCAAAAGTCATTGAGAAGGAGGCGAAGATGGGCTTTTGAATTATGAGTCACGCGTTAGAGAGTTGCAAGAGGGACGAAGCTATTAGATTGTCTCCTGGTTTTCGTGTGCATAGTTCAACAGAACCTGCCTGAGCAAAGGAGCTGGATGAGGTGGTGACCAAGATGCGAAGGGTTCAAGAGAAGTTTTCTTGTCTTAGTACTTGCAGTGTGCAAAGCCTCAAGAGTGGGTTAGGTGGGTATCTTCTAGGCAGTGCTAGCTGTGCGTTTGCAGTTCCAAAACAGACACAACACAGGGCTGATTCATCGACTGTTGCATCGAACCGCCTCAACAGCACCTGCGGCAGGCCCCGTTTCCTCGACAGCTGCGGGAAGTACTGCCCATAAAATGACAATCAGTCAGAGCCGTGTCAGGAGTCACTCTGGCGAAGTCGCGCCTCCTACCATTGAACTAATCCTCTCAGAACTTTATAGCGATAAAATAATGGAGCAAGTTCAACTACTTCTGTTTCATTTGAATGCAGTCGATACCCTTTCATGCTTGCTGAATAGATTTGTGTCTCAAGTTTTTTCTCAGGCCATCAGAGAACACCAGGGACCCCAACATAAGACAAAATTACGTCTCGCTTCCAACATACAATGACAGCTTTTGAAGGTATACAGCAGACAGAGTTTTTTCTCGGGCCATCAGAGAACACCAGGGACCCCAACCTAAGACAAAATCACATCTCGTGATTCAAAAGCTGTCATACAATGACAGCTTTTGAAGGTATACAGCAGACAGAACTTTTCTCGCCACAATATAAAGCCCTCACATATCCATTAATGATGGAACATGTTGCTGAAAAACCATACCTGAAAATGCGATCAGAAGGTTGTTCTCCCATCACAAGATCAAAACCACGCTGGGACTTTTCTCGCCACGATATAAACCCCTCACATATCCATTGATGATGGAACATGTTGCTGAAAAACAGGTTCACCATACCTGAAAATGCGATCAGAGGGTTGTTCTCCCATCACAAGATCAAAACCACGCTGGAAGATGGTGTAAGGCCAAGGCCTATGGTGATTAAAAAAAAAAATCTTGAGAGGTCACAAGAGCAAATAAACAAAAAGGCTAAGAATTAAAATAAACCTCCTAAAATGAACGCAGGGTGCTGATATTTTGTGTGTGTGTGTGTGTGTGTGTGTGTGTGTGTGTGTGTGTGTTATCCTACTGACGTTAAGTCAAAAATGTCTCACTTCAAGTCATTCCTCGCACTCAGAGGCATATAAAAAGCACATTGCCAGGATATGTGGGATATCGATACAGACCGCCGTACGTATTTGATTCAGTAAATAAATAAATGAAACAGGTGGCGTCATATATTTTGTCACCATATGTTGCCAATAGTTCACAGCTCGTGCAAAATAAAGTGACAATATATTCAAATGTTCATGTTTTGCATCAAACTAAATTAAAGACATTTCATTTCCAGTGGACTGAACAAATCAGCTACCGATCTGTAAAAAAATAAATAAATAAAAGATTGTTGGTGGGCGGTATGCGTTGAGAGATTTTCAAAATGGAATCACACATCAATCAATCACCAAAAAAATAAATAAATAAAAGAGTGTTGGTGGGCGGTATGCATTGAGAGAAGATTTTCAAAATGGAATCACACATCAATCAATCACAGACAGGCGCCATTTCATCAAAGAGGGTGGGCAGTGGCATGGTGGTGTTGTCGGCACACTTTCAAAACAACACAACCGATTCCATCGGACGGGTGACGTCAACTGCGATGTGGCGGGGGCATGAGGTTCTGTGGATCAGCCCCGCCCTTTGCACGCCACTGGGATCAAACAATAACCCAAATGAAGTGAGGATGTGTACTTACCCCTGATTGGGCCCCCACTCACTACGGATGCAGAGGTGCTTGTGGACTGGGTCCTTCATGTAGCCATTAAGGCAAATGCATTCCCCTGTCAAAAGAAATGCACCGATTCAATCAGGCATCATTGAGGCTAAGCAGGGATGCACGCAAACCGATTTAAAATAAGACAGGACACATAACTCAACTTAACTGTATTTCTCAAGCACTTTAAAACCACTAATGCAATATACAATATACAATATAAGTGCTGTCTATGAAGCAAAAATTATTCAAACAACAACAAACAATTCATAACGAAGACAGTAGAAAGCGCAAAAGCACCCAAACTAAAACTCAAGTCTCATGCTGAATTAAAAGCCAAAGAAAATTTTTTCAAAGATGGGCAGCGAGGAGGTTTGCCAAAGGTTCAGCGGGAGGTCATTCCAAAGGGAGGGACCGGCAACGGAAAAGCCTCCATCCCTTCAGAGCCCCCGCTTAGTTCTCGCTACCTCTCATAGTGCCTGGTCCGCAGACCCGCCTTTCCTCTTACGAGCACCAGTCAAGAGGCAAGCAGTGGCATTCTGGACCAACTGGAGACGCTTCATGGAGGATTGGCTGACTCCAAAGTCAAGTGCATGGCAAACATCCAGATGCCGAGATGTGACAAAGGCGTGAATGACTCCTATCTCAAAGTCCTCACCGAAGTCGAGGCTTGACTTTGGCCGGCTGCCACAGATGAAAGAAGCCGGATTTGACAACGGTTCTAATTTACCGCTCAAATTCAAAATCACTGTCTAATGTCAGATTCAAGTTGAAGAGATTGTTGGCTTCAGATAAGGGGCCGGGGGCCCAAGTCGGCAGGATGGGAGGGACGAGGGCCACTGGGACCAAACATCAGCGCTTCTGGCTTCTTTTCATTGAAATTGGAGAAACTCAAGTGCCATCCAGGTCTTGATTTTCCTCCAGACAGGATAAAAGCAGCTTCAATGAGAAAGCGTCTTTTTTGCTCAGCGGGACAAAGATCTGACAGTCAACCACTTCAACCCAATTTAAAGCACCAACTTCTACACCATCTGGTAAATTGTGCAAATTTTAGAACTCTGTATGGATAACAGAAATCATCCATGGAACAGAAAACACTGACCAAACAAAACAAAGCTGATGGAAACACAAAAGCAAAACAAAGAGGAGCTTCAAAATTCAAAAACACCTTTAATGAAAACGCCACGCGTCGAAAAGCAAGGTAACCGTCTATCAACAGGAGAACATGGCGGGTGGAATTGGGGTGTGGACTTTGGGGCTGCTGTAGCAAAACCATACAGCCACTGGCCTGTCTCATTTCATGGCTGGCCGACATCAAACTTGAAACAACCTGAGGCGCGGTCCATGGCGCTCTCTTGTGTCCAGTTATCCACTTCACTCCGAAAAAGCTTGTTTGGCCAACATATTTGAGAGCAATTGCAGACGCGACTGCACCGTCTCACCACATGATAAATGTAATCCTGTAAAATAACCACATTTTTAATAAGTGTCCCTGTAATCTGATGACGTGTTTTGCTATATGCCGGGACAAGTCGTTCATGTATTTGTATGACAATGTTATGAGTATTGTAAAAATAAAAACGTAACCTTCAGACAATAGAAGGAATTCAATGAATTGGTGGAGAAGAGCTTGCAAACGTGCACCAACATATCGGTGAGGCAGCCTTATTTCAAGTCGAATAGCACAAACATACGCGCGCGTCCGGGCCCGCCACGCTAGAATAAAGATGGCCGTGAGCCCAAATGGCATCGGTACCCCAAATAACCTGGTTTCAAGTTCTGCAGTGAAGGAGGCCCCATGTGTTCAAGCATCCCCCATCTTCTTTCACGGATCGCAAAAGCAGCACAGATGTTGCCGCGGCGCATCTCGGCTCTCATCGGTATCTTGTCTTGCAGAAAAGAGGATTGGACTTAAGCTATCCGTAGCGACTCAGCAACCTCCCTGCAGCACCCGCGCACGTGCACATGCAACCGTCCAGGCGAGCGGGAGCACATACGCGGCGGTTTTATCACAGCTCCATACAGTATTGGGGAGAAGTGCGAAATAGGAAAACATAAAATGCGAAATGAGATGGAGACAAAGTCTCCAGAAACAAAGACACTTTTCACCTATTGTTGAAAAGATGAGGAATTCATTCATCACTAAATAATCAGCTCGCTGAACGAAGGTCATGAACAATCAACGGCAGTCTATGAAGTATTCTATCTTTAATTGCCCTGGCAGAATTAAGCGGCATTTACACCCAAAATGTTTTGTCGACCTCTGCTGCACAACAGATGTATAATAGATAGGTTACGGATATCTCATTCTGCCTCACAGGGAGCACAGTTCAGCCCAAGATCAAAATAGAAGCACTGGCGGAGAGGGATGACGAGCTCATGAAACAACACCATTTTTGGCAATTCTGTTTTGTCGGCACACTCTTCTCATCGTTTGGACGTCGAATGCGGTTGGTTGCTTGGCTTGAATAGAAAACATGACATTCGGTTGCTTCACGTCTGAAGTGTGGGATAATGGCATGTGAGGGTGGAGGATCATACATTTGACTTTTTTTTGGGGGGGGGATTGATTTTTTTCTTCTCCCATATCTGATTACTGGTCATTCAAAGGCAAGCTCCCTCGCAGCAGCCCGGCCACATTTATTCGGCATCGCCCAATGCACTTATTAATCCCTGCCATGCCCCTTATGGCAAAATTAAACAGCATCGCACCAGTTGTGTTTTATGAAAACGTCTTGATGGAGCTTCATATGATTTGGCTTGAAGGCATCCGGGAATTCCATGATTACATGAAAACCAACGTCACGCCCATATGACGGAAGAGTATCGAGCAAAATTTTAAATAGAGCCCGTTGAGTTCGGCAACGTAAGTTGGCACCCAATTCGTTCTCCAGCGGTCGTCAGCGGTGCGCTCGGAAGACAAGGTGCCTACCGAAAATTCAAGACTCGCCATCATCAAGAAATACCGACACCATTCCACAAAGCGACCAAATGCTTGGGCAAACACCTTCCTGGCCCCATTCCAGTAAGTGTCCTGGACAGGATTTGACAACATCTCCTCCAAATTGCATGAAATTCCAGAAGGGTACAATGTTCCAAATACACCGGCGTCGTCATGCAGGGGCTGTAATTCCTCCTCAATTTTAGCGAGTGTGTTCCGAGTGGCTCAAAGCATAAATCATGCCGTGCTAATGCTAAGGCTCACCTGTTTCTTGATCACACTGGTGCTCACATGGGTCCAGCAGGCGTCGCCCACACAGTTCATTCACCCACGGCCCACTGGCGTTCTGCTGGTAGTACAGCAAGATCTGCGCCGGGTTCAGCCAGTCGGAGGCGTCCAATTGACTTCCCTGCAGCAAAATAAACCGTGACCCTAAGGACGGAGAAGGACAGCAAGAATGCACAGATGAAGAAAATCGAAGAAGATCGAGAAACAAAGTGAGAAACTGCAGAGATCAGATATTGCGACTTTTGCTCAAGTTGATATTCCACATTCGTAATTGTTTTCAAGTACATCTCCATTTGTGGGGACTCAGTTCAAAACGTAAACATTTGGGAAATGAAGAGAAATTGGCTGAAACCATGTCATTATATAACAGTATCGGACTAAATTGAAAATATAAAGTCAGGAATCAATGATTACATGGTCAAGCCGAGGTGAATTTCCAAAAAAAAAAAGAAAAAATACAGTCCACTTGGTACCAAAGGCTCTTTGACTGTGTGATAACACCCAGTTGTTGTGGTCATTGTGTGGGGACAAAATTGGGAGGATTGAATTCTTTTTTACCAGAGAAATGGAAACATGAAGAGTGTTTCATATAATCAGATGCACAGTTTAAAAAAAACAAAAAAACAGTGGCAGGTGGCACTACATGCCAGAATTTACTTGACAGCTGCTGCTTAATGTTTTAGTTTAGTCTCTCAAAGACATATTGCACAAACGTTATCACCATTTTTTTCTCTATTAATAAGTTTAATTGAGTGGGGGAGTGGATTGTGTTTGCACATTTTTCCCTCGAATCAACCGACATATTTGTTCCAGTTTTGCTGTGAATAGATGGCGCAAAGACCCATTTGGCAACAGCTGGAGAAGCCATGTTGATCTCTGCGCCGGTACTGACTCATCCAGACACCAGTCAGCAGTTCCTTGTGGACACTGAAGCACCACTGGAGTTTGAAATGCACTCCCTCAGCCCTCGGACTGTGATCACACCTTTAGAAGGTTTCAACTTTTCCCCCCAAATTGATTTTACGCTATCTTTGAGGATCTTGTCACACGGAAGCTGTCTGACGGAAGGGATTTGCAAGCGTCTGACTGACGCATTAGTGCGCAGGAGGGTGGTTTCCACCGGACCTGCGACATTGAGGTCATCAAAGTCGTCTTCATTTGTCCCAGGCCACTGATCAAGAAAAACAGAACCTCAACAATACAAAGTGCATGAAGGAACACGTCGATTCCACTTTGACCACAGTGGAACCTTTTCTGGAATAAATCTCTTTATGAACAAGATTTTCATCAGCCGACGGTTTACAGTAGCTGTCAATCAGACAATATGTGAGGACAGCAACGACTATCTTTTCCTTTTGCAAAGACGACAGTCAGAGTGAATGTGCCGGAGAGCACCGAGGATACAGATGAATTCATCCAGTTTGTTCATGTTACGATGATGATCATTCTGCTCCCACGTCTCAGTCGGATTTGCAGCTTACACAACACTAGCATTTTCCCTCTTCCCTCCTCTTTTGTTCTGTGTCTGGATCGGCGAAGATAGCGTTATCGCAAGTAAACAAACATCTCGAAATAATGACTTCACCTGATGTGGACGGCAAAAAGAAGTGGAGGCTGTGTCTTAATGGCATT